GAGTGGAGGTGGGGCTGGGGGAAGGATGCATGCCCTGCATAACTGATGCATGGCAGGTCAATCCCAGAGAGATGTCGAGGTAGACAATGTGCTGGATGCCACTGCCGATTTTACCTCTTTTCGTTCCTCTTTTGTAGCTATCACGGAGATCCTACCCTTGTTTAATGTTTTCCTACTTTTGGACCTAATTTACATTGCTTAAGAACAGTCAGGTTCCGATTTTTTCTTTCCCCTGTTTACTCTTAAGTCACGGTGATTGTATTTGGATATTCTTCAAATATTTAAGGACAATAATTTGGGACATGCCTTATCTTCAAATGGGTGATCTTTGCTATTCTATTGCTTTCTACTTTCATTCTTAGAGGGAAATCTAGTGAAAAAAGTGAGCCCCACCACACCTTACACGGCAAAGTAAATTTTAAATTAATGAATTGAGTGTTCTTAATAAAAAATAGGTTGAATGTGAAAGCCATTAACATTATTTCAGTGGCTAAATGAGCCAAGACATAAAACTAATTCACAGATGAGGAACTAAAATAATAAATATGAAAAGAATGTTCCCAGTAAGCCTCTCTCCCTTGTCTGTTTTCTAAACACTCCTAATGTAGTATGTTTGCTTTTGTTATTGACCTGAATTTACGTGGCCCTGGGTAGTAAGTAGCCTGTTGTTGGTCCCATAATCAGAGATCAAAGAATTAGATGAAACAAAAATTTGTAGGGAAACATGGCTTACTAGTTTTAAGAAGTGGATTCAGCGGAGAAATTTTATAATTGTGCTATCCAAGACCAATTCTGGGTGAAATTGTTAAGACTGCTCTGATTTCCTTCTTTTTCAGTTTCCTCCCAAGGCCCTTACGCTGGTGAGGACTCAAGATACTTTGCTGTGTCTTCTGAAAAGGCTTCCTTCTCCAGGCCTTCAATTTACATCCCAGAAATGACCTAAATTTATTCACACTAGAGTTAAACGTCCCTAGGAATATCTACGTTTATCTGGGATTTGGTGCTTAATCTAAATTAGAAAGTGAAACTTTAGTGTGAAATTCTAGGCCTCATTCAAGGGGTGAGTGAAAGCTTGGAAGGATAGCAGAAAACACCCCAAGAGGTAGGCAAATTGCTACTGAAAAAGCGGAGTCCTGGTTGCCACAGTTACTTATTCGTAGATGAATAATAAAAGTTAAATTTCAGAAAAGGTAAAGTGTAAAATTATAATTTAAAAATTAAATGTTCAGAAGTCTTAAAAGGATAGGGATTTTGGCCCCCCTCCTCTTTCCCTGTTGTATAGAACACTCAGAGTTTCCCTTGTGAAATCTGAAACTGATCCCCCTACGCAGGAAAGCAGAAACCCGAAGACGCAGGCCCTTCCATATTGGAAGGTGACAGGTGTAATAAGCGGGGGAACTTAGGTGGCTTGTCGTGGCTGCAAGACAAGGTCTCCATCCAGATTCTTAAGTTTATACAGAGGCCATAACATGGCTGAGTCACCTATACCGTCCAAATGGTCTCAACACACTCCGTTTTCAAGGCTGCCTCCTTCGGGTGGCTCCCAGTACCAACACTGCGGTCGACTGTAGTTCCAAGGACAGGGAGTGGCTGAGGAGCCTCTCATTGCCCCCTTCAGTTCTGGGTCTACCGGAGGTCAGGTCCCCCCCATGACCAACGTCACTCCCCCTAAACTGAACGTTGTGAACAGCCGCAGCTATGCAGGACTTAAGGACCAGAAGCGGGGTTAGGGAAGGCTCTGAGAAGGAAGGCGCCGCCCTCCTGTGGGACCCCGGGGAAGGAACCCTGCCCGTGGAGCCAGGCTGCGTCTGCGGACAGCTCTCAGGAACGTGCTGGCGGAGGCGCGCGAGGAAGGCACCGCCCACATCCGGGAGGCGGGGGCACTGAGCTTCCGGCGGCGGCCTGAGGCCCTGCGGGCGCTTCCGCCTCAACCCCAGGGATGCCAGGCTCCTCCCCAGTCCTCTCCAGCGCAGGGCCACGACGGCAGCATGGCAGGCGCTGAGTTGCGGGCGGCACTCGAGCAGCGGCTCGACGCCCTGGGCATCCGCACGGAGGTCGTGGAGCACCCGGAGGTGAGGCACTCCCGCTGGGGCAGCCGGGCCGAAGGGCTGGGCGCCGCTGCAGCGTCTATGGGGCGCGGCCGCAAATACCTCATGGCCCAGGGGTAACGCCGCAGAAACGCCCGTTCTAGGACCTTTCCTGGGTTCCAGTACGGAAGGGACCCGACAGCAACATCAAAGGACTTGGGGTTACGATGTTATTGAGAGAACTTTTTCTCTTGTATTTGATCACATTTCATGTTGAGAACCAGTGCAGCACTGAGAACTGCTGCAGCATAGACTGGTGTGGGATGCTGGTCAGTGCGTCTCCTTCACGTGCAGCTGTTACCTAGCAGTAAACCGTGGCTGCCGTGGCTGCGATGTATCAGGCATCATGCACACAGCCCGACACCAAGGTTAGAGTTGGGTCCATTTAACGTGATTTAGTGTGTGTGCAGATTTGCAGATATTTCACGGAACCTATTGTAACTTGAGAAATGCGGGGACATAGTTTTTACCCAAGGCTTCAGTAACAGCTAATGGTAATTGCTGAGTATGGTAACCTTGAAAGGGCAGAGTAGTTAATTAGTCTTACTCAACTTTACAAATTTAACATAAAAACTACCATTTTCTCTGATCTTCTCCCCTCCCATATAGTACACATACTCTTCCCCCTTCTTTACCTGAGCATATTGCCAGCTTTCTGATGTTCTCCATTAGTCCAGGGTCTCATTCCCTGCCTTCTCACCCTCACTGTGGTTACATATTTGTAGATTTGAGGTTGTCACCTGATCTGGATGCAATGGAATGCTAAAGACCTGGGCTGTTATAAACTTCCAGTACCAAAAGTTTAAAGAAAACTCAAAAAGCATTTTAAGAATGTGAGGGTTTGGTCAGCACACGAATAGAGAACTGATCTAAGAGAAAACTACTTGAGGTCCTGATATGAGGAATTAAAATAAGGATTTACAGTTATTTCATAATGGTTTTCTACCAGTGAAATCTAGAGCACTGAGTACTTCCTAACCTTGCTGTTTTCACCCAGCAAGCACAATACATATGTGTATGTATGTATGTAGTGCGTGTATACATGCATATTATTTTAAAATTTCTCATGTGATATTTTACAGGTGTTTACAGTTGAAGAAATGATGCCTCATATCCAACATCTGAAAGGAGCACATAGTAAGAACTTATTTCTTAAAGACAAAAAGAAGAAAGGCTATTGGCTGGTGACAGTTCTTCATGATAGACAAGTTAATTTAAATGATCTTGCCAAACAGTTAGGTGTTGGGAGTGGAAATCTGCGGTTTGCTGATGAAACAGCCATGTTAGAAAAACTAAAGGTTGGCCAAGGCTGTGCCACACCCTTGGCACTATTCTGTGATGATGGAGATGTGAAATTTGTTCTGGATTCTGCTTTTCTGGAAGGTGGACATGAAAAGGTGTACTTTCATCCAATGACCAATGCTGCAACCATGGGATTGAGCCCTGAAGACTTTCTTACATTTGTGAAGAAGACAGGACATGATCCCATAATACTAAATTTTGATAAAAACAACTAATTGGGCTAATGTTTAGAATACATTTATATCTAAAAGCTGGGGTTTTTTGTAATTTGTAAAAAGCATTAAAAGTGGTAATATTTTGCACTTTGGTTTGATGACTACGTGATTTTAGGAGGGATATTTCATCTTAAAGCTGTTTTTATTTATTTTTTTTTTAAAAATATATCTTTATCGATTTCAGAGAGAGGAAAGGAGAGGGAGAGAGAGAGAGAAACATCAATGATGAGAGAGTCACTGATCGGCTGCAGCCTGCAACCCGGGCATGTGCCCTGACCAGGATCGAACCCTGATCTCCTGGATCCTAGGTCGACGCTTAACCAGAGCCACACCCGGCAGGGCTTAAAGCTGTTTTTAAAAAGATGTATTGCCTGGCCAGGCGTGGCTCAGTGGTTGAGCATTGACCTAGGATCCAGGAGATCGCATTTTGATTCCTGGTCAAAGCACATGCCCGGGTTGCGGGCTCGATCCCCAGCTGGGGGTGTCCAGAGATGACTTTCTCATCACTGATGTTTCTATCTATCTTGCTCTCCCTTCTCTCTGAAATCAATAAAGACATATTTTAAAAAAAAAAAGATGTATTGAGGTAGTGTTAGCTCAGATGGCCCTCATTACAGAAATGCCTTCAAAAAATTAAGAATGAACATCAAAGCTATGATTAGTTAACTAAGATTATCTTACATCTTTGTTAGGGTGTTTATTGTATTTGAAAAAACCAAGTGGCAAAAACAGCATATATAAAATTATGCATATGATAGTGTACATATAGGAGGAAAGGGAATATAAGAATGTACTAAATTGTTGATGATGATTCTCTCTGGGGAATGAGGACTAAGGAATGAAAACTCCCTGGCAAGATAATTAAACATGGGACAAGAGCTAAAGATTCCCATTACTGGGTGTGTTTTTTAAATGTTATTAATTTCAGAGGGAGGGAGGGAGATGAGAAACATCAATCAGCTGCCTCCTGCATGCCCCCTACTGGGGATCGAGCCTGCAACCCGGGGAATGTGCCCTGACTGGGAACTGAACTGCGATCTCCTGGTTCATGAGTCGATGCTCGGCAAATGAGCCACACAACCAGGCTGGGTGTTAGTTTTTAAATGTGATTTTTTTTTTTTCAGTGAAAAATAAGCTAAATAACTTTTTATAAAAGTATATTTTTAGAAAATTTTAATCTAGAAAAACACTCAAAATAGGCATGGAAAATGTAATCATTGTATCACTGAAATTATATTTTAAAACTCAGTAAACTATACACAGGCCACTGGAAGGATTTGTTCAGTCTTTGTTCAAAGGTTAGAAATGTGAACATGAACAAGTGTCTTTTGTCTTATACTGAATCTTACTCATCCCCTTTCAACTATGGCATATGAAAGTATAAGATCCCAGGATTATGTATTGTCAGTTGTCACATAGAAAGTAATTCAAAAATGAGGAAAATCTGACATTTTTTCCACCTCACTCACCAGCTGAGGGTCTGGCATAGGCTAGACTACAAAAATTATAGTCTACAGGTCTTGTGATGAAAATTCTCATTTCCCTATAAGTTTGATCACTCAAAATACAATTTTCATCTGGTAGAGATACTGTGCTTAATTTATACCAATTTGTTACTAAAAGGCAAAGAAAATTAAAAACCTGTCATTTCTTGATATATGATTAGAAACTACAAGTCTATTTATAACAGAACTTTTATAAAATATAGAACAGATCTAAGAGATGTGGAATTAGTAATAAGCACTTTCCATAAATGTCCTAACTGCTCTTCCGCACCTATGGTAGAAATGCCCAGAAAGACTGACCTACTCAAGGATACAAGGCTGGTTGCCATCTCTAACACTGCCTCCAATGGCTTTGAGTGAAAATGAAATACTGATTTGTACAATTATTTATTTATTTTAGAGAGAGAAGAAGGAGAAACATCGATTTGTTGTTCCACTTACTTATGCACTCACTGGTTCTTGTATGTGTCCTGGCCGGGGTCTGAACCTGCATATTGGGATGATACTCTTAACCAACTGAGGAACCCAGCCAGGGCTGTACAATCTATTAATGTAAACCTGTTTTGGGATTGACAACTGATAACTCTTCTCTTTCTCCCAAAACCTCCAATACCCATCCATCCCAAAATGATTAGGACACAATCATCTAAGCAAGTTTAAGGGTTATATCTGAAAATGGGTTCTCTATGGCAAAAGGAAAGGAAAGAATAATACTTGGCTAAATCATATTTTACAAATTTTAAATGATTACTAACCACTTGTTATAAAAATCACCTTTGTTTTATTTCTTTTTATATCAGTTTGATAAGCAAATGTTAAACCAACCCAATTAAAAAAAAGTTAAAAACTAAAATGAAAAAATGGTGCTTTTAAAAAGATAAACAATAGTGTCTCGTTATATGGATTTCTGTGACTGATTTTAGGTATTGCCGAACATTCTGCTATTCAACTCCAAATCCCTTAGTAGCATTACTTTTAAAGGAAATGTTACAGCTTTTATATTATTTGATTTGGTATTTAATAACAGTTATAAGTACAATGGGAAACATCAAAAGAGAACCCTTAGTAGGAAAGAAAAAGACAATTTATAATCAGGTTTTGTTAAAGGGTGTTGTAAGTGCAACTTTATCCATAAGCATTCCTTTTAAGGCATTTTCATTGTCCAAATATTTCAACATGTACATCAGGGTTTATATTATAAAATGGGCTCCTGTATTATTCATTCAAGGCTTAAAGAAAAACATACATCTTAAGATTAAGTGTAGCAGAAAAGGAAAACACAAAAATTCACCACTTTTCTCCTAAGTAACTTAAAATACAAGTCATTTAGCATACATTATTACTCCTTATTGTAATTTCAGGTTTGGTACAGTATCTTTTTCACTTCCTGACATAAACTGTTAAGACAATGCAGGCTGTAATATTTCATTTGTGAGGTGGCTGCAATTCTGTAATATGCACAGTGATTTTTAAATTGGCTCTTCCCATGCCTTGCATGAAAGGTGCTACATACAAACCTGTTTCTTGAACTCTTTGGTAACCACCAGTTCAAACACTTGGACCAAAATTTCCACATGGCCAGATCTGAAGCACTTTATTAGAGTTCCGGTCCAAAGCTCTTACCCTGTATATTGAATTCTTCAGTGTTT